TAAGCCTTTTGAACTGATTCAATGAAAGATGCTCATGTTCCTCGAGACTTTCGTTTGGAAGTTTATTCCATGACACTGCTGCGCGGTAGGAAAAACTTTTCTTAAGGAAGTTAGTGTTTGGTTTTGATAAGTGAAGTTTTCGTTCGTTACTTCTCAATGCATAATTGTCGTTCTGGGACATAGTAAACATTTCTGTTAAATATTTTGGTGTCATTTTGTTAATTGCCTTAAATGTCACTGTTTGTTCACGTTGTTCGAGGATATTTGCAATGGGCTCCCAATTCAATCTATTTTTAAGATCTCTGTTGATCTTATGTCATACCCTGAGTTAGTGATAACACGTGCTGCTCTTTTTTGTAATTTACTTAATTTGTCAATGTGGGTGATATTTCCGTTGTGCCAAACTGTTGAGCAGTAAGTGAAATGTGGTAGGACTAGTGAATTGTACATTGTAATAAGGGCATTTTTTGTCAGAAAACTTTTTGCTCTTCTCAAAAGTGCAATGTTTTTTGAAATTTTTGCACATTGATTATCTATATGGTTATGCCAATTAAGTTGTTCGTCAAGAACCACTCCTAGGAATTTTTTGTTAGAAACTCTCTTTATCATATGATCTCCTATTGATATGTCAGGATCTGAATTTATTTGATTAAGCCTCGAACCAACAATCATATATTCTGTTTTCTCAACACTTAAGTTTAGTTAGTTTGTTAGCTAATAGCCAATTATGAACACTGTTCAAGTCTGAGTTAATTTTTTGTTGAATGTCAGTTGCTAATTTTCCGTCACAGGATATATTAGTGTCATCTGCAAACATTGATGCTTTTGTAGACATTAAGCAATTTGGTAAGTCATTGATGTAAAGTAAGAAAAGCAGTGGTCCTAGATTTGAACCCTGAGGGACTCCGCAAGTAATTGTAGCTCTGTCTGATATTTCGTGATTAATTTTGCAAACTTGCTTTCTCCCTCTCAGATATGAAATAAACCATTGTAATGCTTTTCCTCGTACTCCGTAAAGCTCTCATTTTGAAATGAGTATGTTGTGGTCTACAGTGTCAAATGCTTTTTTGAGATCAAGAAACAGTAGACCATTAATAAGGCCCTGGTCCATATTTACAAGACATTGATTTACAGAATATAAGAGTGCAGTCTCTGTGGAGTGTTGAGTGCGAAATCCAGATTGATTTGTGGATACCATCTGGTGAAATTCTAAAAAATTATTTAGTTGCCTAGAGACCAGCTTTTCAAAAATTTTTGCTACTGCTGATGTTACTGAGATAGGTCTGTAATTATCGCAATCCATCTTGTCCCCTGATTTGTAAAGAGGGGTTACCTTAGTGTGTTTCAAATCGTCTGGAAAAACTCCGGTATCAATAGATAGATTAAAAATTTGACTTAAGGAGCCGATAATGGTCTCCCCGGCTGCTTTTAATAGTTTATTTGAAATTTTATCCAAACCTGTTGATTTCCCGGCTTTTGCTTTGAATATCTCGCATCTTAATTCATCCATTGTTATATTATTTAGCTCGAATACCTCAGTCACTGGTGTCACGTAGTTAAGAGGGTCGGTATTGTTGCAAGATAAATTCTCACTCAATTTTTCACCAATTGTAGAAAAATAACTGTTGAATGCTGTTGCAATATTTTTGTCACCAGTAACTATACTATCCCCAACTTTTAATTCGTTAATTAATGTGGACTTAGATTTTTTGTTCAATAATAAATTGATTGTTCTCCATCCTTCCTTACTGTTCGTAGTACTTTCTAGCTTGTTCTTAAAGTATATAGCTTTAGTATCTTTAATAAGATTGTTAACACGATTTCTGCAATTCTTGTATAGTTCATGATATCTTGTCGAATTATGTTTAATTGCTTTTCTCTTTAGAAAATCTCTATGATAGCTCATATTCTTAATTTCGTTTGTCATCCAAGGGTTATATTCACTTTTTACCTTTCTTTTTAGTAATGGGGCATGAATGTCAGCAATTTCCAAAAATATTTCCTTCCATGTGCACCAGGCAGTATTTGCATCAGTGCAATTGTAAAACAAAGTTGAGTTAAGTGCTTGGTTAAGGTCTTGCTGGAAATTGGTAATATTAAAGTGCTTGAATTGTCTTGTTTCTACTACTTTAGGTTTTGCTTTCGGAATACTAACCTTTCTGCATGCATAAACCAGGCTGTGGTCGCTAATTCCGAGGTGAATGACCCCTGAATGAATAGCGGGAGGGTGAGTAGTCACACAGTAAGGTACGACACTAACCCTCCAGCTATTCAAAAACAGCATTGACACTCAAGAGAAGCTCAGATTGAACCTCCACTCATTGAGTGTGAATGTGAGCATGGATAATAAAATAAATGGATAGGAAACTAGCTGACGTGACCTAATGTTTTTACCTGGATTGATGGCGTGGTTGGATGCCTCAACCTAGTTGAAAATCAAATTCTCAAAAACGGCATGTTTAGCAATAATACAGCTAAACATTTTAGTCAAAGAGCAAATAAATGTAACCACGCCATTCTACGATGAAAACTCTAAGTATTCCCAGTCAATTTTAGCAAATATTTCAAGCACTAAACAGTGAAAAATACATCGCAAATTTCGTTAAAATTTGTGACGCCAATTTCGTAGCTACAAATGTAAAATAATACAAAACAAAGACGAAAAACATTTACCTTCAATACTTTGTCGTGGCTTAGGCATGTTTTTAAAACAATTAGACCAGTTTACGCTTCAAGATCACCCTTTTAAAGTGGAAAATATAGCAAAACAACAAATATGCCGAGAACTTTGGTAACATTCGCAATACGCGTGACGTCACGTTTTTCAACAAGGATGCAGTCAATGACGTCAGAAGTTTCCAATCCATTTATTTTACAATCCATGATGTGAGTGAGCTTTTAGAATAAGGGCGTAAAACTCGCATTATCTCGAGGCAGGTTTAGGCGAGTTACCAGCCCAGAGTAAGACTTGATGTACCTGCACTGTGCTTGGAAAGGACTGCCCACTTTAACAAATGAACAGCAAACAGTATGAGATCTCAGTTGAGCGAGCAATGCATGAACCATAGCGGCATTTGGTAGACCAAAAACTCCATCACTTATGATGACAATACCTGAACACAAAATACATTTCAAAACACTCATTAATAATACATAAGCTTATTGCATGGCAAATCATGTCAACCATAATATTTCACGTGCAGTGGCTTTAAACCTGATAAAACACTCCTAATTAGTATTCTTTATATAAAGAATACTAATAAGGCAGTATCTATTGTAGTCGTGTCCTTATTAGACGTATTCTTTATAAAAAGAATACTAATAAGGCAGCATATCTATTGAATTTGTAGAAACGAGCAGGAGTGTTTTATTAGGTCTAAAGCCATGCACTCGTGCTGCGCGCTCGTGGCTTTAAACCTAATAAAACACTCCTGCTCGTTTATTAAACAGTATTACTGTTCATGCATGCACATATACTGTATTGGCATCGTTGTATCCCCGCTCCCCCGCGCAATGTTGGTGGCGACACTGTATTTTACAAGGCTTTCATATAGCCAAATTATAAGCTTTCATTAATTGCTGTTTTGCAAGGATATGATTGGGAAAGACATGTATTTCTATTTACGCACACGCTGTCCACAATAATTCTTGCCAGGATTGTAGCCAGGTTCTTCGTCTTCGAGGATGATTGGATCAAGAAGTGATTCGAACCCCCTTCCATCACGCTTTGGCGCTCGTAGACACCACCCATTGTTTGCTGACACGCAGTAAGAGACACTCTGTGCGTATCCGCGCGATAGATTCTACTCACGTGACTCTAACAAGGGGGAACTCAATGAAAAATGGCAAACAAAAGTAACGTACCTCCGCTAGCACTACCAGGGAGAAGTTCTAAAGCCAAAATTGACATTTTTAACATTGCAACGATTGACAATTCCGATGTTACATGACTATATAACTGCTTCCCTTCACAATTCTAAAATAATATGAACATCAATAACATGGGCGGATTATTCAAAACAGCCCCCTAGAATCTCTCTAACCCCTCTTATAAAGTGTTCAACCCCACCAACCCAACGCCTAACCCCTGCCGAAGCTCGCTCAGTGGTGCCGCTTGCACCCCACTAGAAATATTTCCACCCCTCCTTTTAAAAAAATGAAAATCCACCCTTGATCAATAAGCTACAAATATTATGATTGCATCTGATGTATATCTGAAGATTATATCTATGTTGTCTTGTTAAGAATACGACCTGTAATATATCGCCATTTTAAGCCCCAGCTTTCGATCATGCCGTTTTTGACAGTTTAACGCCCGTATTCTAAAAGCTCACTCACACTCAACGAGTGGAGGTTCAATCTGAGCTTCTCTCGAGGGTCATTGCTGTTTTTGAATAGCTGGAGGGCTAGTGTCGTACCTTACTATGTGACTACTCACCCTCCAGCTATTCAAAAACAGCATTGACATTCGAGAGAAGCTCAGATTAAACCTCCACTCATTGAGTGTGAGTGTGAGTGAGCTTTTAGAATACGGGCGTAAGTGAATCTTTTGGTATATAACAAGATACTTCCAATAGGTATACCAACGATATAAATATCAGAATTTTTGGCATTAGAGCGCTGCACCAGAATCGCAGGGCCGCAGGTTCAATTCCAGCTAGTGAGCCTATAGTTGCATTTTGCGCAATTCCTCCTGGTTGGGTCTAATAAATGTATAAAATTCACACTCCAAATTTGCATCTATACAAAACCCTTCATCAATTATATAAACCCTATCTCTAGCTGATTTGTTAAATTTTGATTCTTGTTACCACAACTTTACTACGGGCGAGCCATTTGACATTTACAGGTGTACTTACAAGAAAAGACCTGCCCTCAAGAAACGGTTGACGCCCACCCCTTCCCTCAAAATCTAATGGTTGGCCCCTAATGGTATGATCCAGCTAGGTATGATCCAATTAAGGTATCATTTCATGAAGTATTGTATCTAATATTGTTCAACCAATCATCAACCGCCATATTTTCTGTTCTGGAGAAAGCCTTCTTATCAGCATTAGAAAATACACCAATTATCCTCCCCATTTTATACCTGATGACTAATGGTTTGCACTACACCGGCATTCTTGTTCTCCATCTGCTGTAGTTGTTCATAAACTGATGACAAAAACAATTCAACATTGTCTTGGGTGACCAAACAACCTTCAACCAGCACCTAGAAATTAGTCCGTAGTTTTAAAGTATTTCGGTCTTTAGCTAAAGCTGACCAAAGATATGAGATATCTATGAAGATGACACACCACAGATAACTATTTGAAGCCATTCTGAGACGGATAGAGAAATAGGAAGTTGGTCGCGCAGTGCAGATTTGTAACTGGGTTATATATATATTCCCCTTTTATTTATCCCCGAGCCGGCGGCGCGAAGCGCCGTGCGAGGGTACTAATTCCCCCCGGCTATTTACACCCGGGGAAACGAAAGCATTAGGGAAGTCTGAAGTTCATCAATGA